GAGCCCACCCTGGGCACGGCCCGGGATGGCCGAGAGCCTCCTCCGGAGCTGCACGGCCGCACGGGCAGACACCCGCCTTTCCAGAAAGCAGGCTTCTGTCATTTTATTTCTTTGTTTTTCTCATTAGGCAAATTAAGAGAGAAGGAAAAGAAGGAATTAGAATCCTACATACTTAGTAAATCTAATTAAGGAAATACCTTAATGCAGTTATGCAGGCCCAGACACGGGGTTTCCTAACAGAGACCGTGAGATCAGCCCTGCCACCCCGGCACGGGTCCGACCCCTCCCAGGGGGAACCCCGCTGCCTCCAGCCCCCCCGCCAGGGCTGCTCCCCCCGCTTCTCCTGGAGGGGGAGAAAAGGGGGATTTTTCCCCCCATTTTGAGTGCGTGGGCACTGGCAAGTCCTCGACAGAGCGAGGGCAGGTGAAGTTTGTCCTGAGAGCATCCTTGATCACATCCCAAAATCGCCTACAAATTCATATCCTGAACTGGTAAACGCCACCAACGTACGGAAATTCTGATCAGAACGTCCCGTTCAGCACAGGGCCAGGGCTGCCGCACCCCCAGAGCCCCCAGAGCTTTCCCAGCCCAACCCCTGCCTCCAGGCACACGCTTCCCTCCCGCTTTCTCAGCCTGAAGCCTAATGAATAACTTCTAATGCATCCCACCTCCTTGTTTCGTTCGCCTGAATTACCAGACAGGCTCTAAATCGAGACGGTACATTCATATAACTTCCACGTGGGAAGGGGAGATGTCAACATGTTATCTGACACGGCAAAGCGTTTCACACTACGCGGTTACCTCCACCCTTTGTTACGCTGTGTAAACCAAACGTGGAGCACTGCAGGTTACCTTTACACCTACGCTTAATTCTGTGGACAAAACCTGGCCCAAGGAGGCGCAAAACTCTTGCAGCAACAAGTTCCGCCTGTCTAGATGCTGTATCCTTGAGAAGGGCAGCAAAGATTATCCTGTAAATTAACAGCCTCTATTTTTGGCCTCATCATTTTTTTGTCCTTGACAGGCATCACCTTGCCAGCTGCTCCCTTTTAGTTTATTTAATATTCAGTGCCCAGAGTTTTAAGTTTTCACAGTGTTTCTGTATTGCTCTTGCAAAAAAACCCCAAAACTAACAAAAAACAACAACCAAAAACTTTTTTTTTTTTTTTCCAACAGAGACAAGGGCACCTTGCTGAGATTTTACACTTGGAAATTTGCAGTGAGTGCCTGAACGAAGCACCTTACCCTGACTTTGAACAGCTCTCCATCCAATCCCGGGGACTCCAGGCAGGCCAGATCTCGCTGCATCATCACTCATCCCGGGGAGGACGTCTGCAGAGGACACGCGCTGCTGCAGGGCTCCCGCCACAGCCCCAGCCCCGGCTTCCACCCGGGGCACCCAGTGCCACGGCGCTGCCGGGGCTAAAACAGGCACCGGCAGAGCCCCCGCCACGGAGCAGCTTCCCTGACAAACTGATTTACCCTGTTACGGCCCTACCCTGAAGCGTTACCTTCGTGCAGCGAAGCCTGAGAGTCAGCAAAGCAAAAGCGCAGCATTTTCTGGTCCAGATTTCTTGCAATAAATGATGTATTTGCAAATCGCCAGCCTGCATCTGCGAGCACACGCGGCCCCCCCGGCACACAGTCCGCACGGGAGGGAACCAAAGCCCTGCTCAGAGCAAGGTGACATTTAACTGCCAGTGAGTTTGGCTTTAATTACTCCTCTGCACCGAGAATGTCGCTGGGAGCGTCCCGCCTCGTGCGGGCCGTGCTGCCTGGGCTGCTCGTGCGGGTCACGGTCGCGCGTCCCCCGTCCTGCTCGGCGCTGGCCCCGGCTCTGCCTGCGCCTCTGCAGACACCGGCTCCTTCCACCCGGCCAAGGACTCCCCGCCCGGTCTGGCCAGGACAGCTGGGCTCGATATGCAAATAATGGCAGAAAGAGAATTTTATCATTTACAGATTCTGTCATCTGATCTCGCTTGCAGGAGCAGAGCGAACGCGGTGATTTCCCGCAGCATTTGGGTAAATCAGCCAAGGCACTCACTGACTTTTTAAAAACCAGAAGGCTCGTCTGATCCAATTCCTGACAAACACGAGCCAGCGAGCCTTGGGCAGCCGCTTCAGAGCTGATTCAATAATTTGCAAATTGCAGAGAACAGCTCCCAGAAACCAGCGCCTCCGAGCGCCGGCAGAGCCGAGGCCGAAGGGCGAAGGGACACTTGTCCCTGCCTGGGCACCTGCGCCGGGGCGGGGGCAGAGCGGGAGGGGAGAGGCCCGAAACGCGCGGGACGCTGCTCGGGGGAACGTCCCGCT